TACGCTAAATATAACAGAGTGTAAATACGCTTTATAGCCGGGAAAGTTTTACGCAGGTTTTAACAAAGTTCCGAGTCGTAAAAAAAAAAGCGACGGGAGAGAAAGAGGGAACAACGTTTCCTTGTTGCAAGAATCGTTTGCAAGTTGGAAGGGGATCACTCGTTTATAATTTAATCAGTTACGGCCGATCGTAGCAACTGGAAATTTCGCGTTGTTTCGCACTTTACGCCTGATATTAACTGAAATTAAATTTATTTTAATCTAATCCACGCTGCCACGGCCAATTGAATGGAGATTTAAATTCACCGCCAAGACGATGGAGATTAGATTTTCGATCAAATTCAATAATCTTAACCAACGATACGTAACTCTCCCGCCATTTAAGATTCTGAATCACTCGCTTCGTCGCAATTTTATTTATTAGTTTTTTTTTCCTTCGAATAGAAGATGAAACGACGAATTTAAATCACTTTTTCCTTCGGAACAAATCCTTTTGCTCCGCTATTCTCTAGAGATAGAGTGAGAGAGAGAGAGTTTAAAGGAAGGATACCGAATCTAGCGAAGGAGTAGATCATTCTCCATTACCCATTCAATATTCATCGAACTCTCCGTGGCGGGAGCATAAATGATGCAAGGAAACGGCCCGTATTCTCGTTTCGGCGAAAAAATCACTTTCTTGTCGCGGTAAAAAGCTCGAACGACCGCGTAATAAGAAAAAAATCGAGGCGGGAAGAAAAGGAAGAAAGAGAGGAAAAATAGTGGCGACAATTGTGGAAAGAAAATGATGAAAGAAACTGGTCTATTAATTATTCATTATTCGTTAAGTACAGGTAACATCGGTAGCCAATATTCCTTTTCGATTCGATTCGTTTCGCAACGTTTTATCCGTCCCCCCCTCCCCACCCTGAATAAATAATTCACCGGCGAACAAGGAGCCCGGTTTCCTTCTTTTTCCCCTCCATCCCCCTTTTTTGTCCGCCGGAAGCAGCAGCTCGGGCTAATGCGATAACGAGGCGTGGATGGCTCCTAAATGAATCATTTACCCTCCTAACGCGTTCAACCTTTCGAAGGATTTTATTTTCTTTTTTTTTTTTCCTTTTCGGTTCAAAGGAAATTTCTTCTTCTAAAAAAAAAAAAAAAGAAAGATGATCGAATTCCACTTTGGAAAATTGATGGATATTGTAGGAATATTTTTTTATTAGAACAATCTTTTTACCAAGAATCTTTTCTCATCGATATCTCGAAGAAAAAAAGGAGAAGCCTCTTTTTCTCTCGAAAGAGGAGAATCACATCTCTCGAGAGTTTGACGTTATCGAGACGTTTGAAAGAACTTTTCACCTTCACACTCTCCTCCATTTCTTATCGTAGACGCAAGAACCTACGTTATTGTTCGAAATGATCTCCCCGCGCTTCTGGAGGAAACTTCACGGCTGGTTTGATTCGGCTCGAATTCTCGATTCTCTCTCGCTCGGTCGGAAGTTTTTATCGCATGGAAAACACAAAAAAAAAAAAAAAGAAAGAAAAGGCGGTTGCTCACGAGCTCGGTTCGAAACAAACCTCTCCCCTCCTAGATAGGGTAGGAGTGCGTTCGCAAATTCGTGAAATTCCCTCGACGAGGCAATAAAAGCGCGGATCCTAAATTCGTCAGAGAAGAAAAAAAAAAAGAAAGAAAATAGGGGAGGTGAAACTTTACTCATTTATATTACTCATTTTAAAATATTTACTCATTTTAAAAGTCACGTTGCCTCGAATTTAGAGGATCGCATTTCTATTCTTAAATTCATCTATGCTCGATCGATCGATGAAAAATTGGAGGAGATATCACGATCGATCAAATGAATTTATTAAAAGAAGATAATAATAAAGACTTAGAGATATAAAAATAATTGTAGCAAAAGGAGAGAGAGAGAGAGAGAGAGAGAGAGAGAGAGAGAGAGAGAGAGAGAGAGAGAGAGAGCGAGAGAGAGAGAGAGAGAGAGAGAGAGAGCGAGAGAGAGAGAGAGAGAGAGAGAGAGAGCGAGAGAGAGAGAGAGAGAGAGAGAGAGAGCGAGAGAGAGAGAGAGAGAGAGAGAGAGAGCGAGAGAGAGAGAGAGAGAGAGAGAGAGAGCGAGAGAGAGAGAGAGAGAGAGAGAGAGAGCGAGAGAGAGAGAGAGAGAGAGAGAGAGAGCGAGAGAGAGAGAGAGAGAGAGAGAGAGAGCGAGAGAGAGAGAGAGAGAGAGAGAGAGAGCGAGAGAGAGAGAGAGAGAGAGAGAGAGAGAGAGACGTTCCTGGATGGAGGAAGAATGGAGAAAGGAAGAGGAGGTTAAATAAATAAATTCTGAAGGAAAAGAGGAGGGGAGAGGGTTGTGTGTACGTACGAACCGGTTAATCCTGTGCTGTATTGGACCCCGTTCAACACGCCCCTGGCGACCTGTGCAGTCTCGAGTTTGTACGTGTCCTGTAACCTCATCAAAGCGACGGCCGCCCCATTAAGATCCTCGTCAGTTGGGAATTTAAGGTCGCTCCTAGAGCTGGTTATATTCGCCACGAAAGACTTGCCCACGTCCTGGGTGATCAGCTCCTCGACCCGTTTCCAATCCGTGGTCAGCCGTTTCACCAATAGATAAGCGTTGATCGGATTGGACAGGTACTGCTGAATGTTTCTCGACGCCTCCTCGTGCTCTCTCGCGTAATCCTCCACGTTTCTAAAGAAGAAGAAACATGGCGGGAGCCGTTAAAAATAAAAATAAAAATAAAAATATATATATATGTGTGTGTGTGTGAGTGTAATCAATCATATATAAACACGAATCGAGACGGATCAAATGAATAAATTTCATTCTCGAGAGAAGGGAACACGATATTTATTTACCTCGTTATCGATCATGATACGATGAGAATTAAATATCGATAATTCAATTCCTTTTAACACGTTGACTGCCACGCGTGTTTCTAACGAAATTCTCCTTCAAGTCACGTGGTGCGCCACTGTATCCAGTGTATTCCAGTACCTTCTACCCATATTTTAGTAATGTAATTGTGTTTCGTTGTTTTGCCTAGTTTTGCAAGGTGAAAAAAATGAAGGGAGGATGTTCGAGTTTGACGATTAAAAAAAACGAGAAGAGGAAGGAAGGATGTTTTGAAAAATAGGGAAGGGGAGAAAAGACGGGAGGGAGGGGGGGAATCTGTCGAGAACGCGCGAGAAAGTTGAAACAACGGGAAACGACGGCGTTACGCGAGACATTGTTAAAAAAATATAGACTTTCAGCTTCTCCTGTAATTTAACTTCGAAACTTGGAACCAAGGGAAAGTTTTCGAAAGTTGCGAAATCCTCAAAAGCAATGATAACTTTCCCTCCCCTTCCGTCTCTTGATTCTTCCATCTTCAGGAAGTTTGCGGTTATATTATATATATATATATATATAATTCTTTCGAACTGCGATCGACTGCGAAATGCGATCAGAATGCGTTGTTTCAGTTACGAAAATATCCGTGTTTTTTAAAACAATTATAGTTCGACAAATTTTAATCAAGAAGGTTGACGATATTTTTTATCGAAGAGAAAAGAATTTTTGCTTACCAACGCAGCAATTCCTGTACGATCGTATTCCAAAGTCTTTTATCTTAAAAAGTTTTGTGTGATTCTTGTGTATTTCAAAGTCAATGTGTAATTATGCGAAGATCTTGTTGCATAAATGCACTATTGGTAAATCATTTTCAAATTTTTCTTATTTATAATCTTGAGATTTTCCTCATCTTAAAATTTCTTTAACGTATATATTTCGTTCATTGAAAATTGTAAATGTAAACGTTCGAATACTTTCGTTACCCATTGTAGATACAGTCACAGTTACACATTTTAAAAAGTTTTGTGCTGATCATAATATATTTATTAGTAGAAATATTATAGAAAATTTTGTTATCAACGTAGTAAGTTTTGTGTATTTCAAAGTCAAAGTGTTATTACCTTGTACGAGAATAGGTACAGAAATCTTTACATATGTTAGGTTATATTTGGAAGCATACGTTTATCGATAGAATATTATAGAAAATCAATCTTGCTAAATACACAATTACAAAATAATTCCATTATTTTCAAAAATCGGATTCACAAAGTACATGAAATCAATTTTCAAATTTATATTCGTTGTTACCAAGTTTCTCATAAAGATGAAGCGATGAATTCGTTGTTTCGACTCGTTTCAACTTGAAATCTTTATATCCTCGCTCCCGCCATCTATCTCGAAACAATTTACCAATCCTCGCCGCTTCCTGCCGTTTCAATTTCTCTCTCTGTTCCATGATCCCTTCCAACCCTCCCCTAACGGGTTTAAAGAGACCCCGTACAAAGGACTCTCGGCAAGATGACGAGGGAATTATTCAACCCCCTATTTCCTCTATTTTGGCCGGCCACCGTGCAATAGGCAATAATTGCCTGCCGTAGATAACGACCGAACTTCACCTCTGATCCTCGAAGGGGGCCCAGAATAATTCGCGAAGATCGCTCTTCGTGGAAAATCTTCCCCTCGGTGAGGTTAGAGAAGAAAATCTGCGCAGTTGGCACTCCTCAAGCTCCATTTCAGATTTTTACTTATTTCGCTTAATTGAATGCGGTTGATTTCGTAAATTTCATAAGTTTCATGATATAACGTACTACGTGATAATCTTATGAAGCGTAGTAATATAACATTGAGTAATATAACAGCTAAACGTTTCACAGGATATTCTTCTTCCCATCGTTATTTATTTTATTAAGTTAATAAGTTCCTTCTTTTTTTTTACGATCGTAATATAATATTTGATCCAGTCGAATTACTTCCTGTTGGTGGCGCCATCTGAAAGAGCGTTCTTTTGTTTTCAAGAAGAGTCGTGACGAGCGCTTCAAGAGTTTCCAGTCCTATGCAACAATTTCGAGCAATATGGCGTCCGGGAAACGTCATTCGCGTCACTGTTTACTTTTTGCATATCAATTTAGGAAATCGGCTTTAGAAGCTATTGAAATGGTTTGTGCGCGGAACATGCAAAAGATTTAAAATCGGAAATTTTAATTTGGAAAACGACGATCGTTCAAGTGCACCGAGAAAGTTCGACGACGGTGAGTTAGAAGAATTGTTCGACGAAAATCCGATTCACGAGAAGAATTGGCAGAAAGATTGGAAGTCACGAGACGAGCGGTTTCATTTATCCGACTGAAACAATCGGGTAATCTTGTACCTGATTTAAGTAATAAAATCTTGAATTTTCTTTTGGAAAAAGAAGGGGAAAGAAATTATTTCTCTCATCTAATAATATTATCCTCTTTTAATCCTTCGAAGAGAAGATACGAGCGAAAATAAATTCGTATGTATGATAAATATACATATAGTTCTTTTGCGCAAACTTTTATCAACAGAATATCTCAGGATCAAAAATGCAACAAATATATTCCACTAAAGTGAAGATAAGAAAAGAAAAATATATAAAAAAGTTGTACGATAAAAAGTATGAAATGATTTTTATCCATCGGAGGAAACAGTGAAAGCGATTGTATATCGTTCAAACGTAAATTCATTGCAAGAAATAATAGAAAGAAATAATAGCACGTTTGCTGAAAACAAGATAAAGATGGAATTCGTAAAATTCAAGTTTCCTCAAGCTGTCAAGCTTGCAACGAAATTTTGAAATGGAAACAAACTTCTTTTCAATAATATAACGATACGTGATAATAACAATATTTCTTTCTTATCGTATCTTATCTTTTCTTATTCATTTTCTTTTCTTATTGCTCAGAACTAATGCAGTTTCATCGTTTAATCCTTTGCACTCACACGAATGGTGTTTCTCAGCCATCACTTGGATTCGAATAGCTTTTCCAAGCTCTTTACGTAAAATCATACGAAGCGTAGAGTAATATAATGTCGACAGGTAAATTTTCTTATCTTAAATTGGATCGCGGATCGGATCTTCGCCATTGATCCGAGTTTGACGGTAAGTGTAGACGATAGGAATATTATTTTCAATTGTTTTTCGAACAAAGACGAGTTCGATTTTTTGTATAAGAAATCAAAATAAGAATAATTATCCGGTGGACATTAAAAAGGATTATAAGATTAATAATAAGTCAAGGATGCATTTTGACTGATCGTTTACGCGATATATATAGAGTATTTAATATTCGACAAATTTTCTTTCTTTATACATAAAGATACGTTACTTACGCACATGCGTTTTGAGGTTAGCTGTAAGAAATTTATCGAAACGTGTGGAACAATTGTCTCGAGTGCAAAAGATTGATATAATATATAACATAAACAAGAATTTCCAATCGTGTCTTCGAAGCAACGAAAAGAAAGAATAGAAAAATAGGAAAACTACAAAATAAAAGCTCAAAGAAGCCCTTCATAATTACGATCAAAGACAGTAGTAATAACCAGTTACTTCTAGAAAAAAAGAAGAGGCAGCAATTCGTTTCCAAAAACCAAGGAATAACCGTAACACTAAATCAAAGAGACGGATTAGAAGAAGCGGCGTAAGACACAAGATTTCGTTTCGTTTCTCTCCTCGAATCGAGATCCCTGGCGGCCATTTGGCGGAAGCGGATCAACCAGCAGTTTTCTTTCGAGCTCTCGTTTCATCCGGTCGTTCAACCGACCAACCGAGATTGAGGACGGGGGAAGAGCCATTTGCGTGATCGGTTCGCTCGAGATAACGAGGGGAAACGGTCATGCAAATGCGATCGAAATGGAAACTCGGCCGAAACATAGCCGCTTTATCGCGACTTTAATTCGGCCGTAATTGGTACACGCCGCGCGATGATGGGCAACCGGTTAGTCGATTCATCGACTGGAAATCGCGATGGAATCACCACCGAATTCTCGCTGGTGGCGGGAGTTATCGCGAGGTTGTTCTCGATGTTGCGCAATTATCGGTGGAAGGGATGGAACGGATGGATGGAAGTTGGATCCTGGATTCCTAGTTCGGAACGGAAATTCGTATCGGGAAATGTTTTTGTTATCTATGAAAATTTATTATCTATCTATTTATGGTATATATTGGGAAGCTGTTACGTTATTTTAATGAAAAGTAGCATCCATCGCTCTTTTCCAATGAAATCTTTTTCGACTTTTCGAGTGTTGATTTTTTTCTTATAGAGCAAATGTTTTTAGATTGCATTTCTAAAGTTTGTTGAAAATTGATCTATGAAGGAGAATTTCATAACCTTCAAAAGTTTTTATAAGTTTTTGTGCAGTAATAAAAAAAAAGGAAAGAATATGAATTGTAAAATTTAAAATTCATTAGAATATTTTTTTTTTTTTTTT